AACAACAACAAAAGAATATGATTTTAAAAAAACCTCCTCACTCCTCACCCGCCAAAACATCGTCCAGGTCGAGAGAGGCCTGATGGATCCGGCCCAGCTCCCTACACGTGTTGAGGATTTCCCGCCTGTGCCTGGCCTCCGACAGTCTCTGCAGGTTGTCCAGTCCTGACAGCTGTCTCTGGAGAGCCCGGGCCGTCTTCTGCTGGTGGGTGAATACGCCGTCCATCTCCTGGCCGGATCTGGTCAGCTGGTTGTCGTGGGTAGGTGGTTGTTGTGGTCAGTTGGTTGTCGTGGGTAGGTGGTTGTCGTGGTCAGTTGTCTGTTGTGGTCAGTTGTCTGTCGTTGTCAGTTGGTTGTCTTTGTCAGTTGGTTGTCGTGGTCAGTTGGAAGTCGTAGTCAGTTGAATGTAGTAATCAGCTGTTTGTCTCACAGGGTAGTGTCAACGAACGCACGGAACGACGGGGCTAAATGGAAGATGGTGATTGGTTCCTGGAGGCTGTCACCGCTTGACCACTGGTCAGTTGGCTGTCTCATAGGGTATTATCAACAGTCACACGACACGTCCTCGTCAAATTGAAGATGGCGGGGGTGACTGGAGATGTTCACCTTTTTGCCGTTGGTCAGTTCTGTCTCTCAAGTTTTTAGATTCACTGTTGGGAATATACACCAAATTACGACATCAAGTTTATAGTAAGCCCTATTGAAATATAATTTGTATTGCAGTTTCTTAATAATATGTTGTATTGGTCTCGTGTGCTGAATAAACATTTTGTCTAAATTCAAATTCAAAATGTGGAAAAAAAATCCAAGACAAGATATAAAATGTAGGCAGCTTTCTTAAAAGAATGAACCAGTTTTTCCTCAACCCTGCAATTTTCCTTTTCGTTCTGGTCTTTCGTGTATTTTAACAATTTGGGGACGAAAAGGACCCCTCATTTCTCGTCACTTCAATTATTCATCTAATATAGATCTATTATCTATCGGTAATACTTTTCCTCGGAAGGGGGGGGGGGTACACTGCTGTGATAACTGGGGGTACATTCTACTACTGTTGAAAGTTGAATTGTCTCTTTTTGAGGTTGTTGTTTTTTTGGTAGCAACCTTGCACTTAAACGGTTTTGCCGGACGCTATCAGTCACTAGTAGATCTATAGTATGCTATGTATAAAGAGTTGTAACAATATCACCTGCCACACAAAAGAGCTATAGATAACAGGTGTCACACGCGAATAAATACGTCTTTTGAGATAAGAGGTTGGAATCAGTGACCCAAAAAGACCGTTAACCTAAGCAGTAGACTAGTACAAAAGTACTTTCCTATAAAGAAGTCACAAGAAAGATGTTATAAAAAAGACGGATAAGAAAATCGGCCTACGTTTCAGTATAATATGATACTATGACGTAAGTAAGAGGGTTCTTGGGAGGGCAAAAGAAGACCGGGGTGGGGGTAAAGGTGAGGAGGGGGTGAGAATATATATTTGTTTCTATTATTTTTTATGAGGGTTGGGGAGGGGTGAGAGGTAAAGAGAGGGGATTGAGATTGAGGAAGTGAGAGGGAGAGAGGAAGGTGAGATCAACTGGGGAGTGAGAGGGTGAGAAAGAGAGAGGGAAAATAAGAGGTGGGAAAGGGAAGGGGATGAATTACGAAGAGTGAGAATCTAAGGGAAGGGGTAAAGGGGAAGAAAGAGTAAACGAAGGGTAAGGGAGAGGGGGGGGGATGAGGGA